CACCGAAAAGTATAGATGAGCATTGGTTGCAATTGCATGACGCCATGAAAATGGCGGGTGAAGTCTGTTGTGGGTTCGCGAAACGTCCCGCTTAAAAACACTGGGTTTCTTCTGGTTCCTTATAACTGATCGAAGCCCGTCGGTCTACTCCGGGTGACCGTGAGTTTGACCACAGACCGAGAAGCCTGGTGGTCGGAGCGTGCTAATGAGCTGGAAGCAGCAGCTGCATCTGGTAATTACCGGAAGCTCTTCCAACTCATCCGAGCCACTGGCAGCAAGAAGTCTGGTGTGAGCGAAACAATCTGCGAGGATGACGGAACGCCAATCACTAACATCCATCGACGTCTTGGACGATGGGCAGAATTCTTTGAAGTGCAGTTCAACTGGCCTTCTGCTCCGGCAACATCGGTCAGACTGTCCTGCCCTAAATGGCCGGTGACGACTGATCCACCAAATGAGACGGAAGTCCGCAAGGAACTCCAACTCTTGAAACGTTACAAATCACTGCGCCCAGACGACTTACCTCCGGCTCTTTTTAAAGATGGTGACTTTCTGACTAAGGGACGGACGACATTGTTTGCAAAGATCTGGGAACTAGAGAGTGTACCGACGTCATGGAATGAGTCGACAGTTGTCCCTGTGTTTAAAAAGGGTTCACGTCGTTCCTGTAACAACTATCGGGGGATAAGTCTACTTCCGATTGCGTCCAAGCTATTGGCTTCCGTCATACTTCGTAGGTTGTTCAAAACCCGAGAAAGACTGACTCGCGAGGAGCAGGCTGGGTTTCGTTCTGGTCGAGGATGTATTGATCATATCTTCACCCTCCGCCAAATGTTAGAACACCGCCATACTTATCAAAGGCCAACAATCGTAGTGTTTCTTGACATCAGGGCTGCATTCGATTCATTGGACAGAACTGTTCTCTGGGATTGTCTATTGAAGAAGGGTGTGCCTGAGAAGTTTATTAACATCCTAAAAGCCCTATACACAAACACCTCAGGCAGAGTGAGGGCATACAACCACCTTTCTCCATTGTTCTATTCGAGCAGTGGGGTTAGGCAGGGTTGCCCTCTTCAACTTTGCCATCGATGACATTCTGGAAACAGCTCTGACGGATGTAAGTAATGGTGGTGTGGATCTGTTGCCTGGAGAAAGACTTCTCGACCTTGAGTATGCGGATAATATTGTCTTACTGTGCGAGAATACCCAAGCTATGCAATCCGCACTTAATCAGTTGGCAATCAGTGTCCGTAGGTATGGTATGTGCTTTGCACCTTCGAAGTGCAAAGTACTTCTACAAGACTGGCAGGATTCTAATCCTGTACTCACTCTGGATGGTGAGCAGATAGAACTCGTCGAGAAGTTCGTGTATCTGGGTAGCTGCATAAGTGCTGGTGGTGGCGTGAGTGATGAGATCAATGCACGTATAGTGAAAGCCAGAGCGGCTTATGCCAATCTGGGCCATCTTTGGCGCCTTCCTGATGTTAGTCTGGCTGTAAAAGGTCGGATCTACAGCGCGTCGGTGAGAGCAGTTTTGCTCTATGCTTGTGAAACCTGGCCTCTCCGAGTTGAGGATGTTAGACGACTCTCTGTGTTCGATCATCGTTGTCTTCGAAGGACTGCTAACATCCAGTGGCAACACCATGTTAGTAATGCAGAGGTTCGGCATCGTGTGTTCGGGCACAGAGACAATAATGCAATTGGTGTCACCATCTTGAAACACCGACTTCGGTGGCTTAGACATGTTCTACGAATGTCGTCCCAGAGAATTCCACGTCGTGCATTATTTGCCGACTCTGGGACTGGTTGGAAAAAGCGGAGAGGTGGTCAGTATATGACATGGTGTCGTGGTATGAAAGAAAGCTGCAAAGGGCTAGCTTCTGTTGGTCCTTCACGACTCCCTGGTTGGGGTCCGAGAGATGGTGTAACACAGTGGCTAGAGACGTTATCAGATATGGCTCAGAATAGAAGCCAATGGCGATCCTGCTGTAATCTTCTTTTACTTTCATAAAAAGTGGCTGTACCCTTCTTAAATGTAATATTTCTTCTGAGTGTACCTTTTCGTCTCCCCCCATTATTGTTATTTTATAAGCCCCTTCGTTCCTTACTTTTTTTCCCTTCTTAAGTTCTCATTGTTTTGTGTGGCGCATATATATTTGGTGCCCTCTTGTACCAATATATGTGTGTTCAAATAAATAAATAAATAATACTAACTTGTGCAACCAGTATGAAATTATTGATAATCAGTTTGTATCTGAACCCAGGATGGTCAGTTGTAATCCTGGACATCAGAATTGTGGTACAAAAGCCTCTACAAATACCTATTTCTGGTTAGCTTTTACGTTTACGCTAAATGGAGTCAGTTCTTGATAAATGCATTCATGTAAGTGATACTGACAGAATGATTCCAAAAAATCTTAGGCAACGAAGTAGTAATTTACACAACCTCTATTCGTAATGTATGAATTCCGTCAATAATATCATGAACTTGTTTACTATTTTATTTGTATTTATTTGATAGGGTCCTCATTATGATCCAACAGTTGCAAATAACGCATTTTGGCAATCATGTACACTCCTTCTAGCCGCCACTTTAGAAACAGCTTTTCACCATAAACATAATGTTCGTGTAATCAGTCTCCCTTTACTTAACCCAAAAAGTGGTGGATTCGTATGCGATATTTCATTTAATCCTGGACACCAATCTTTAGAAAATTGGACGCCTTCACCTCAAGAATTATATGCATTAAATACACATATTCAACGGATGGCTGCGGACGACTTAAGTTTTGAACCTTTAGATGTATCAATTCACAGTGAACTACTTCAAAAGTTATTTGCTGACAATCCATTAAGATCACAACAGATTAATCATGTATTCAACGAACACCAAGACAGTAGTAATGCATTACAGCTCGACTTATCTTCAAACAAGGATAAAATTGCAGAAAGGTCTACCCTACCTGTATACCGAGTGGGAAGATTTGTTGAGGTACCGACATCATAACATTGTATTTACATAAAATGGTTACTGTACCGTTAAGTAGTGAAGTTTCTTACTGATTTAGGTCTGTCGATTTAATTCAAAATATAGTGTCTTACGATAGTAAGTGTAGGTCATAACTATCGGATGGCTCTAAAAAGCTAATGTAAAATATCCCATCATTTCAATCGTAACGTTTTACTATCAGCTAATAACGTACTGTTGCATTTTCTCAAGAAAAAGAAATAGGCTTTTAGGCATTCCTACAGCTCTTAATAATCATTTTTAGCTTGTTCATCAAGCATTTAATTGCTAAATTCGAACCATTCTGTCAGTGAATTACCCAGTTAGTATCATCATTCCCCACTAAATAATTATCTTACAGCTTGGATTGATTTATCTACAAACATTTTAAAAGATAATTTAGTTAAGACATATTTCTTTCTATATTGTGATGAAATATATGAGTGCAGGTATAGAAAAGTATTCAGTGAAGTTATGCTTCCCACCGTCGACTGTACCAGGGCATTCGGCGGCCAATAAAATGATGGGTGAAGTTTACACCACACATATATTAATAAGCGAATGCATCAGTAAATGCAAATTTCAGTTTCTTACGTGTCGAATAGGTGAGATATGCGATTTCAGTCTAAATTTATGTGAAAGTAATACTCACCTTATTCTATTTTATTGTGCCCCCAAATGCCCTGGTATGGCCGAGAGTGGGGTGGGCCCGTCCTACCTCTCGAAATGCTCTTACACGGCCACGCGTATACAGCCTCTGTCAGGAAAGTCCTACTCACTGCCTTCTCGTGGCGGGAGTGTTGTGTACAAAAACAGAATGTTCGGCGTTTTAACCGGATCTAAAACCAGTGGTCACATGGACTCCAGTATCCTAAGGGAACAAATGGAGTATGAACCAATCGTTGGTCACTGGCTAGCATGGGATTGCATTTCCTCACGATGCTCCACTGCCTTGTGAACCAGACCTTTAGGTCAAAGGCTCAGGGTGCCCCACAGGAAAACCACCTACTTCGGTCTGGACACCCGGGCAGTATCACAGCCCACACACAAAATTTTATGTGGCGCATATATATTTGGTGTCCTCTTGTACTAATATTTATGTGTTTAAATAAATACTATTTTATTGTGTGAAATGTATAGTATTTTCGGCGATTCGTTAGATACAAAATTTGTTGGTCGTATAACAATTTTATTTTACTTTTGTTAGTGTTTCACTAATGGCCCATTAATCCAATCCACTGGCCTTATTGGAAAAATATCCATCAGTTCATTTTCCCGAATAGGTCATCTCCGAGGATCTTCAAGTAACATTGTCTATCGTGTTCAAGGTGTGGCTATTCCATCTGCATTCCTTACACATTTCACGACATTTCACCGTCTTATGGAATGGTCTAAATTACCGAATTCAGAAGTCAACATTTACCCAGATTACGTGGAACCCTCACCATGAAAGCTAAACTCATATATTTGTAAATCTCGTTTTCTACTGTATTTAAAATCACTACATTGTTTAACTACGCAACAGAGTAGTACAGATAGCAAATTGATCTGTTTTCGCTTTTGATAATTATGAATTTATAACCATTGTTTGGTCATGTGTTGCCTGAAGTTTGCTGTGTATTTATTTACTTATTATTTATTTGGACACATAAATATTGGTAGAAGGAGGCACCAAATATATATGCTGTGTGGTTGCTTAGTTAACACTAGCTGACTAGAAACTACAGCTGAGCAGCAAAATGCCGTTCGTAGTATATTGCACCGTAAACCATGAATATAATATCGCCAATCATTCACGATTTTGTTGTTAATTCAGTTAATTTAATGTGCATAGTGCATTACAAGTTTCATAGTACATCAGTTATTAATACCACAAATGAAGGGTCCACAACTACCTTATGAATGGATGTCTCCAGATGCCATAGCGTTTTTCAAACCCATCCTCCATTATCCTAACTGTACAACTGACTGCTGATTCCATTATTCAGTACTAGGTTTTACCATCGTGCCGAATTCTTTTCAGGAAAATCACAAAAAGTCGGTTGACAATTAACATGCAGAATAGAAAAGACCCACCCAAGGAATTTTCTTTACAATGAAATCGTCTACTCAAGCTGTACATTCGCATTTATAGTTGTATGACGAATAAGTCTATAAAATGTTAGAAAGGGTTGTATCATAAAGTGGTCTGAGAGGATGCGCAATAATCCGAGGGTTAGAGAAGAATAGAAGGACGGAAGTAATTTACGGGTTAGACTTTTGAAAGATAGTTATCCCCTTGACAGTTATGAAGAAAAAATGAAAAGCATACAGTTCAAAGTGACTGAGTAATAATGTTGAAGAATTTCTAAAGGACAGTGACAACCGATTACAGTCCAAAATCATAAAACTAATAAGGACGTTTTGCAGAAGGGCATTAACGCAAATGAAGGACAAGAAGTTGGACGTCTCGCGTTTGCACGTAGAGTTCGGAGATTAATGGGTAAGTCTCCAGCCTGTTTTTGATATGGCTTTTTTGATCCAGTTCCCTTGATTGTGTATATTACGTTGAAGAAATACTCATGCGGGACGACGCCCTGAGCTGGTCAGATGCTCATATATAGAACTGATTGTTTTGCACCCTTCTTAAAAGCCGCGCCGGGCAGTGTTCTGAAATGCGCTTGGGAAGTGATAGATTTGTGACCAATGTAACATACCCCACGGGAGCGACTAGATTTATAGATGCACATCGATGTGGCATAAGTTGGAAACCCGTGAATGGTAAACTGGCTTGAGGAAACAATACAGAGCTTGGCTGAGTAAGACGTCTCATTCAGGGATTTTGAGATCCGTTTGTTCAGGAGTTCGACAGCCGTATCTCGTTTAAATCCGATATTCATAACTTTCCTTTTGAATTGTCGGTACTTTTTCAGAATATAACATTCATAGCCAGGCTATACTATTGACGTTTTACTTGCTTAGGTTGGATGTAAGCTAAATATTTTAAAAACACTTACGTATATCTGTAGTCTGCCGTAGTTGTCCATTCAATTAAGTGACGCCAGTGTAATTTTTAGACTACGGTAGATTAACGGATAGTCTGAAAGTCTAGGATGATGAATAACCACATGGGTGGAAGAAAGATACACTTTGTATACAGTTTTACGTCTCTTTAATATGAAGGTAAAGAAGTCTTGATGTGAACTATTTTGTCTGTATACTATTGACCAAGTGATCTGTACTAGGTCGTTTCAATATATAACGCCTGCTACGTTTAAATCTAGAAAAGCTTTTAGCTCCGCATGTTTGGTTTTCATGATGAAGCAGACAAACTCTATAAGCAACAGTAGTTCCGAATGCCGGTATAATGTTCTTAACCAATAAAAATGCGAAGGTAACCTCCAGTCAGATTTTGGTACTTATACGATGAAAGTCATTAAGTAAAATGTCTGACGCTACAAATTAGTAGGTTCTGAAAATCTGATGTCACTGAATGAAAGCAAATAAATCTGCACATTCTTTTCAGATGTCCGAAATGGCCATTTAACCTTTTAAAATGTTTTAATGAACTAGCACTTGGAAATTCAAGATTAAAACGGTTGTTTCGTTGATTGAGAGGACAGAAGTTTACCGTACCTTTCCTGCAACAAGCAAACGATAGTTGTGTAAACTCCCTGTTAACCTCCACATTGCCTTCGCTCTTCGTGTTCGAAGACTGACGGGGTAACTTTCCGAGTAACAGGCGTAAGTAATTAAGTAAGAAGGACCTCCACCTTTATACGTTTTATCAACTTTCTTTTTACACTTAACCATCCCAATATCGGATTAAATGCAAAACACCTGTTTACTGCATATCAGTATTTTTTATCCTGTCAGTTTGTACAGCGGATGTACTTTATGGGAATGGTATTTCCACCTTGCAATTGTCTTTGACCTTTCAATTTTACGTATGACTCCAGCCAGTACAGGTGTTTTTCTCTTTCACGACAATACACAAGTAGATGTGACTATTTGGGGTCTAATTGTATATATGTGTTGATTTATGTATCAACAAAAACTGTGTCACCAAATTTTCCTGCTTGTCGACATATTTCGCAGTGCAATGCTTAGTACGTAAACGAAATGACGTCGAACATAAAGTGATATGCATCTGAGTAGCATTGTGAAGAAAGCAGTACGCAAATAGGTTTACCGGACCTTTTATATGTGCAGTTGGTGTGAGACTTGTGTTAAAACCTTCGGATTCAACATACTGAATACCATTCACCATAGGGCAACAACAATCCATACTTTAGCGGCCATATTTATAGCATGAGTTCATGTTTTTTTAAGCAATTAGTTTCGTCACTAATAAATCCCTCTGCTGTTTGGACATTTTCTTAAATTATATAGCGGTGAAAAGCGCTTTTACGATTGGCTAACTTTTCTACTGTTAAGCTGAGCTCTAAGCAATGTTCCTGTTGTGGTTTTGCATCCAGTATGACAGACAAGCGTGCAACTGAATGAGTCTTATACTGATCCGATTCAACGATAGTTGGCGGGTTTGACTTGAGTGTATGGCTAGACTGGTTTCGGGAGTTGCCATGTCAGACGATGTCTGGATGCTTACAGAGTGCTTTAAGCATACACATTTTGATTTGACAAATGGAAGTGACTATGTAGTAGCTACCTCTACTGGACTAGTAAAATTACAAATAGTGGCCATTCTTGTTAGCAACATTAGTAGTTATCACAGACTCGCTTGTATGTCATCTCCTACTAGAAATGAGAAAACTATCGAATCATGCATAATTTTAAGTCTGGATAAGGATCTAATAGATGACAAAAGAAATTCGCTGAGAAGCTAAAACAATTTAAAATGAAGGACCAAAGTTAATCTGCATTAATGATTTGTCAGTCTTTGATCACTAGGTGCAAAATGAAATCTCGGGAACATTAAACTCTCGTGGAGTTGAGTAACGCGTCTATCCCCTATTACATGTGCACGAACTTTATGCAGTAAAACTCGCAACCTGCTGCAAACCACTAGATCCTAATATACTATTTCTAATGACTGGATAAACCTTCGACTTTAATATATATCAAAAGAATGCTGTCCAGGGAACTTATCTTTCAATTATTGAACCACGTCGGACACTAATGAAAGATGTTCAGCGCAAACTATCATCAGCTTAAAGTTATTCTACCATAAAAACGAACAAATAAACACTAGTCTCTTCTAAACTATATAAAATAATGACTGACAAACACTACATTATTTCACTATTTCTGGACCCTTGTACTCCTTTGAATACTTTTTGAAGGTTGTGGCTATTCCAAGTGCACCGGCCATTGGAAGCACAAAGAAGGCTAGAAATCCGAATTGCCTCTGAAAAATAATAAGGTGAATAGTTGTTGACTTACTATTCTAGACATTCTATCTGGATTCCGAATTACAATAGGATTATACGAACGCGAAATGTTGAGTAATGGCTGGAAACCACCTTTCATTCTTTAGGAGCAGTGCGAATTGTGAGATATTGAGTTCAATGTAGTTGATATGAACTCGGTCAGCAAATGTAGTGATCTTACAGACCGAGATGAATAGTCTACAAGGTAGAAAACAATAAAACTGGAATCAGCTGAAGCCCAGTAAGGCCACCTGGAATCACATTTAAAACTTATATAGACGAACAACTAAGTTCTACACAGAATTCCCTGCAGAAAGAACATTGTTTTCATTGTGATCCAGTACGAGGATGGTGAAACCATTAATTCAAACACCGAAGGAATCACAGGGTATGAGCTAATGTGGTCCCTGTCCAGAATACTTTATACATTGTATGACTCATTTGTAGCGTAAGGGCTAGCTTTGAAAATCACAAACTCATGCAGAAGAAAAGCGACTGTAATGTTCGCCGTTGGGTTGCCCTCTCAGAAAAGACTCAGTGGTCCAAGCGTGAGAATCTGGCGAGTAAGCTAATAATGTACAGTTCAAGTCAATATGTAGTTGGTAGATAATCGGTCAGTGAATAAAGATAGTGGTCTTGAGCTCAGGGTGGTCTATAGAACAGAGAACAACAAAACCAACGTCATCTTAAGACCAGTAAGATAAAAAAAACTCCATAACTCAGAGTCTCATTCGAGTTGAACAACTTTTATACTTCTCCTTAAGAGATCGAACGGGACATGATCCATCGAGAACCAACTCAGTAAAGCTTTTGTTGTCGAGAGAAACATGTTCACAAGCAACCAGGAACAAAATAGACAGCAATAGAGCAGTACTAACCGTATATACATAGGGGATTTCATTTGGAATTAAAAAAGAGCATTTACACAAACCCGTATATATTACTCATTAAAGTTAACAAATGATCAACTCTAAAGGCATTGGAATATAACATCCGAGCATTATGCTTTTTTTTTAAATAAAAAGATGAAATACAAGCGAGCTATGAAGAAGCATTAACCATAATAGTCCAATGGGTCAATAAAACTGCCAAAATATATAAATCATGAGGACGATAGACACTAAGCAAATGAAGAAAGATTGAAATTTCGAGTATAATCATATTCAATTGTAGGTATAACAGCTTGGACAAATTTTAGAAATATCATAAGATATTGATGAACAGCTAATTCGGCCCCACCGTCAGCTACAGCTTCAATTAATTTTCGCATTACATCAGCCTGTCGACACGGGTGAATGGACGGCATCATGTGGCCGGACAAGTGCGGATGTGCTTCAGTCGTAACAGTCTTCCTCGCGTGATCCTGACTGAAATCCTCATACATCTCAGCTTCTGTCAACGGTTGGTGATGTTCATTGTAACCATACAACCACAAACGTGGAGTTTGATAATATTTATCATATGTGATATACAAATCATAAGTTCTTAATTGCAGAATCCCGTTATTTTCACAATTTGCCTTCTGGTCTACTCCGGAATGTAATGTCGTTTGGTTTGTGCTTGATGTATTGAGTACCTTTGTACGAGCACTAACAGCTGCCGGATCGCATTCATCCAACATACCACTTTGCAAGAAAGCTTCCATATCTTCATCCTCTTCTTCATCACAATCGGAAACTGTGTTACTTTGCTGATGATTCAATATACTGTCCGATTTCAAAACAGTCATTTCATTTGCATTTTCTATCTCAGGATTGTCACTTTTAGTCGCATAATGGTGTGTGTCTACCCAACCACCATCACCATCCTCTTCCTCTAACACTTCCTCAAACTCTTCGTTATGATCTGCCATTTGCTTCACTCTTTTATAGCAAGGTACACTGCGAGTAATCAGATACTGTTTTTCTTTGGGAAGATAAGGACGAGTACCTTTATCGCCAGTTGCCCATTGCCAAGTTGGACAATGATAAACTAAGAAGTCCCCTGCTGCCACAAACTCTTCAGGAGTGATGACTCCTGTTTCCCGGAATTTAGACGCTTTTAGTATAGGCGTTACATACTCGGCAAGTCCAAGAGCAGTACGTGTAACAACTTGTCTAACCGAATCCATAATAACGGGTCTGAACGTTCCACAAACTTCGTTCAGTGAATTCGTGAACACCAATAGCAGTAGTAGACTGAATACCCAACTAGATGAGGATTTCAAGATTTGAAGATGACTGATCGTATGTATGATGTTCGTTATCGTGTAATTGATTGATATTTGGTCAGTGACTGAAGGAAGTAACTTTTTGGATAGATGTGAACAGTCTACAAGGTAGAAAAGAAAACGAAACCGGCCTGAGCCCAAGCCTATTCAAGGCCTACGGGATAACTTACATTTAGGACCGGAACTGGCGCTGCACCAAATGGAAGAAGTCAAGGGTCAAATATCGGGTTTCAATCCTCAATTCTTGCTTAAGGCTTTTAGTAGCTTCAGTTGATCACATCTTAAGCAATCAAAGCTTTCGTAAAATTAAATTTCATTTTTAGTGGAGACTGACTATAGGGGTTCACATTTTTTATTATGGTGGTCAAGTCATAATTCAATTATTTTCCATTAATTTGTGCAGATAAGATCAGGGAGTTATTCTCCGCCATTTGACTGTCTCACTGCATTTATTATGCAATGCTTTGTGATATGGCTAGTTGTCTGTGCCGTTGGAGAGACGCCATTAATTTTAGACATACCGCTTATTCCTGATGCGTTCGTAGGTACTAGACTTTAGTTGGAGAGACGACACGATCGGTTTGGTATGTGCTCGACAAGTAGAGTCTGTCAGTCTACGGACTGAAGGAAACTGTTAGGAATTAATTTACATGTTCTCTCAAGGATGTACGAGAAAAAATTCATGCGTGTCTTTCCTTATGATTATTCTCTTTTTTCTCTTCTAAAGTATCGTTTCTTTTGTCGATATATTCATTGACATTTTGTTTTCCTTTTGATTTATTTGCAAATATTATTATCATATCGCACAACATCTACAAATCGTGGTCAACTTCTAGATGTTGTCAAGTTCTGACTACTGTTCGTTTTCGCTTTACTTAATATCGTTTTGGCGGTAGCCATATTGATGATCTTGTCCTTAATTGATCCCAATAGAATTACTGCTTGAAACTGATGGCAAACAACTGTCGGGCCAATAGAAATGCTGACTGCACAAAAAGCGCGCTTTGAAATTTGATCCCGTAGTCACCAAGGGACCTTAAAAGGGTCCTACGAAGGTGCCTAATCGTTAAATATAAATACGTCAGCACGGGTGTTTACTACCATCTGGGATTAAAAGTTAACTTGATAAGATAATATAATGCTTTGGTCGGGTACTTTCAATTACGATAATCTAAACTTTCATATTAATATGAACAGGCCATCCTTTTCAATTTGCCTCAATCAACAGTTATGGCTTATATTAGGACGTTACTTCGCCCCTAGGTTTATTGTTTTTCCTGATTGGTGTCTGTGTGGGGAATAATAAGTCGGCTAGATTTAACGGAATATATTCGGACACCACTTATGTGATAAAAGAAACGAGCGTCCTGTGGGTATTAAGCCAGTAGCTATAATCTCTTCGTTCACCTGCTCGTTCTGATGTTAGATATACACATGATCACCATGGAAAAGCAGGCCGCAATAGGAGTTTGTAGTGGGTCATCTCCTTTAAATAAAGATGTTTTTGGAATTTCCTCTGTCCAAGATTTTCACATGGCGTTTGACTGCTAATTGATCTTTATGTAGGCAAAGGTGAAGGGGGCGTTCGCTTTTTCCGAATTTATGGAAGACTGGCACTCAGGTCAATCAGCAATGAACAAGCACATTGAAATCGATCCAACTTATCAACCAGTCAGGAAAATTATGCACAAGTATAGGAACAAAAATCAAACCAATGGGAGACACAACCAAAAAAGAAGTAAGCGATGACAAAGTTAAGATAAATAAGAACTAATCAACATCAAGGCGTACAGAACAAGCTGTGAAACGCATATGGATAAATCCGAACGCTTTACCTCTATCTGAAATTTGTGGTGATGATGTCTTTCAGAAGAACAATGAAAACTCCATGACCAAACCATCCAACTTAGAGAACAAAACTCCATAAAAATAGCCCAGTGCTATGCAGAAAAGATCTCTTCCTGTGATAGGCTTCGGACTATCATCCCAACGACTATTGTATAGACCTGCGTCAGGTCCGACTATAAGAAAAAATAATAATGAGTAATAACCTCAGATCAGTCTCATTGGGACCTGATAATGCAATACCAGTACACAGTAAACCCAGGCTAGATACTGATACGGGGGAAGAGTATTAACTAAATTTCGGGCACTGACGAACCCACGTGGTTACTTCACGGAACCACTCCCTCCTAGTGACAAGATTCTTTGTAGTTACCCATGAGCATATAGTTTTCGATTAACGATGTAAACTGCAAGTGTATTCCCGTTAACTGGTCAGTAAATTAATTTCACTTTATGTTAATAAATACGTCCAATACAGTTGTTGCTTGTTGGCAGTGCTTTTACACCAAGTAAGCTATACTTCGGATTTAAGTCAATACCTAAGATTTGATCAACTACCGGCTGTTTCACAGGACATTTCGCTAGCCATTTCAGGCTTGAGTGCTAACATCTTATGTCTAGGTCTGATGAGCGTGATCATCCACGAAAATTGGGTATCGGACTGTAAATCAAGCTGTTTCTTTTGTCATCCGATAGGAGCTGCAGACGTTGGATGCATGGCCTTTGCAAGAAGACATGAAGGACGAAGTTTTAAGTCTATCAAATTCATTGGATTATTGCTTCACATTCCAGATTCCCTTGGTGACACGGTTAGCCGATGTTAATTGTAAGACTTCCGGGCGCTATATTTTGCCATCTGATTAAAAAGACTGAGGTCGTCAGCCACTTCACACCACTTGGGACTTCATTGAAAAGAGCGTTTCAGAAGTAGAGGTTTAATGGTAGCAGACGAAGTAAAATGTTTTTCTTTTTATTATTAGGAACACTAACATCGCGTTTCTTATCGTCATTCATCATCGAGAAGTGACTTGCTAGACCTCATGACATCTTTACGGAATGAAGTTATCAGGACATGTGGGAAACTACGGAAGGATCGTAGAAGGATAGCAGATTATATATGTTCTTTAGGTTGTGTACAGTATAGACAAGCATAACCGGAAGTCCCATTTTATCTCAACGGTTGTTTAACAAAACACGGAAGATGGACATTATTGTAATGTTTGTATTCACAGAAGGACTATTTTGATCTTGATTAGTAACAAGAAAATTTATTTTTATGTCTGGCTTAGTTTTTTTTAAAACTTTCACTTACTATACACTGACTTTTTCGGTTGCATGTGGTATGCTGAATCTAAATACGTGTATTTTTCGAGGGCTTAATTTTAGTCGAAATGTAGGTAATTCAGCAGTTTCAAATATTGTGCAAAAATAAAACTCTTGACATTATTTCTACATGACAGGCGAAAAAGAAGACACAGGCACGTCGCCCTACTTTCCCTCCTTGTTTGGCTTTCTTTCTCTAATATTGACTACTCGTGTGATATTTTTCTGTGTATTGTTTTTAGCTTAAGACATTGATACTTCTTTAATAAGCTCTTTTACCGTGGTCCACTACAGACTCAGATGAAAATGATTAGACCCTTGCTGTCTCTAATCACGATTAAACCTACATTGTTAACAAATGCTTCCATACTATGAAGCAATTTTTTGATAACTGATGCTGAATCATATGTGAGTTGTTTCCGGCGTGGCATTTAATTAGATGAGTTTCAGACTTACTGAGATCAAAGAACGTATAATTCTCCCGGAATCCATGTTCTTCAGCAGGCGAGCCTGTAATAAAGTCACACTTAACGTCAAGTTTAAACCTGGAAACCTGCGATGGCCCTTACTGTCAAAATATACACACTATTGTAGTGAATATTTAGTATTTATACACATAATTATGCAGTGTGAACCCTGCTTAAGTAATTTCAACACATTTTTGCAGTAATTTGTGTTGAGAGCAAAGTTCAGTTAGTAAATTTTTACCATTTGAAATTGCTAAACAATCGATTTCAAATTTGTTTTGCCGATAATGTTGGTAATTTTTTCCCATATGACAATATGTTACATGAGGCATGGATGTTCGCAGGCAAAACAAATGTGTTACAAATATTGCACGATCTACTGTGATAAGTTGCTTCGGTAGGCTAATGTGTACAAGACATACTAATTATAGAAACAGGGGAGCGAATGTGTATACATAATAATATGAGATGTATTAATATCAATAATATTTATTGTATTTGCGCGCCATTCCTACGGGTATGATAAATAATTTACATGTGTTTACAGATGAGATAATAACCAAGTAAAATGGCGAAACAGATAAAAAGGGTGGAAATTTACGAAAGACTGTTCATGTAGCCGCATGGATGAGTTAATAAACGAGTTTGTGTACCGGTGCTGTTAAAAGGGTCGGAGGACTAACGGAATTGTTTGTTAACTAGTACTCTAGGTCTAGATATCACCAACATTCAAGTAAGATCTGAAATGTCTCTACTAGATGAGAAAGGAAGGTGACACTAGGTGAACTAGCAACGCTTCGACAAAATTGTGGAGAAAATCTCCGCTTGGTGGATTTTCGAGTATTCAGGTCTTGAGAGCGAAGCTTACTAACGTCCGTATTAGTGTATTATTCTCTTTATAAATTTTACATACAAATCCTTATTCTCTAATAAACAAATTGCATGGACTAGGGACATTAGTGGACGAATTAAAGCCACTCATTGTAGCTGTTACCGAAACTTGATAAGTCCATGACACTAACGTCAATCCATAGTTATCTGGATACAACTACTTAAGGAGTTGTAGGAATAGAAGCAGGAAAGGGGTTGCAGTCCCTACATACATAACTAATAATATAAACATCTGTTCATTTGTTCGTGAATCTCATGGCGGTAAAACTTGTGAAGTCATTAGCTATGAACTCATTTTTGAATGTTGTACACCTATGATTTATGTCGTTCATCGTGGTCTAATCTGCCTAGCTAAAGTCCATATTTTAGGGCACATTCGGCTATGGAGGAAAAACAATAGATGTCTGATGTGCATCGGATGCTCCCTATTCACCGATAATACCACCTAGGTACGTGAATGCTTTCAGCCCCTTCAGAGCTTTGTCACGAGGCATGATGTCCAGGTAATCGTTGTTGTGGTACCTAGGATCTTTCTTTTCTCTTCGAGCATGTCCATACAGAAGCCATTCAAATTGCATCACCATATGATCCACCAATCTTCGACCTTAGAGATTGGTCCCCCTTCATTTCTTCTTTCTGATCGTCCTAGTTTACTGCATTTTCATGCC